ACCGATATGTACGTGTGTGTATTAGAGGTTACTTTTCAGTGGAATTGGAAGCACTTCAATCTGCAGCAGCACATGTGTTCCAGGATCAGCACTCTGACTGACTTGCCTCCTCGTATCTTCACAGCCTTGGCTCACGTCGATTGTTTGCCATCTACTCGGACCGACATCAACGCTCCACCCACTCACACACACCTTGTGTGTGCCACACTTCATCCGCGCCCCCTCGATATCCCTACCTATCGTGCTTCCTTCTGCTCTCTCTCATCCTACCATGCACTCCCTCCACTGACACACCCTCTCCTTCCCATAATTACCCCTCTTTTCTTACCCTGCCCCTCTAACCTGCTCTTCTGCCCTACTCCTCACCCTTGCCACTCCCAGCGCTGGCGCTGCTGGCACTGAGGGCGGGGCTGGGCGTGAGTGCGAGCAGCTGGGCGGTGGACTCGCCCTGCACTCTCGCTGGCAACACTCCCACAGCTGACAGTTGGACGGGTGTCGTCTGCGACCTCTCAGGCCAAGTCCTTAGCCTGTGCGTGTGGGGGTGATGTGTGTGTGTGTCGAATATGTGTGGGGTTGCTACGTGCGTTGGCTATGTTCAAAGGAGATGGGCGTGGGCTTTAGGCAAGTCATATGTGCATGTGCATGTTTCATGTCACCATCACACTTGAATGCTCAGAAGCCGCTTCCCACACTGCTTCCTCCTGATCCTAACACCATGTCATGTCCCCTCAACCTCACAGGCATGCTCCTTGCTTAGGTGCTGCCCTGCTTGCTGCACCGCTGCTCCTCCTTGCACTAATTCCTCCTCTTTTCTTTGGTGCGTGCCTGGCATGGGATTGCTTACTTGCTGTTCAACTCTCAACTTTCTCAAACTCTTCAACTCTTTTCGCCCATGGCAGGCGGAGGAGAAGTTTGGATACCTCATGGAGGCGTTCGACCTCGGGGCCCCACCACACGGTAAGAGCACCACAATGAGCCTCTAATGCTCTTCATTGTGCTGCTCTTATGCTACCTTCACTTCCACACCTTCACCTCTACACCACCTACTTTTTCGTCAAGCCCTCTGTCTCTCCCCTCTGCCTTTTCAGTTCCCACTCCCAGTGGCATAAGTTAGTAGCTAGACTGTCGGGATATGCTGCTGCTCAAACAGGCATCCATTGAAGACATCCACCCTGTGCCATTTTCATCTTTACCTGCCCCTCGTGTTGTCAGCCTTGTTCCAGGCGGCATAGCATACGGGCTGGACCGCCTGGCCTTGCGGCTGCTCGGCTAGCTGTCCATCAAAGATGTGACAGCCCTCCCCACGACCAGCCCCCGTATCATCTCCCCGTTCCGTCTTTCCCTCATCATCTCCCTCTCTCATCAGGTGGCATAGCGTACGGGTTGGACCGCCTGGCAATGCTGCTGCTCAACCAGCCGTCCATCCGCGACGTCATTGCCTTTCCCATTACTACCGCCGCTCAGTGCTTACTTACCAACGCCCCTGCTCCGGTAGCAGAGCGCCAGCTGGCAGAGCTATCGATCCAGGTGGCGGGGGAGGGAGGGAAGGACGACGGGGAGGAGTAGAGGTGATGGTGGGGGGTTTAATTCTGATGGGGATGGAGCATGACTGATCTATGGGTTTGTTAGTGACCATGACACTGAGAATACATACCGTATACCACCATTGTTGCTAGTACCAAACAGGCTTACACCTAAATGCCTTACCACATCAGCGATGATCAATAGAGGTTCAGTAGATTCATTACGAATATATTAGGAAAGGAATAAACAAATATAACACGTACGTATTGTTGAAACATTCTGACCTGATATACCAGTATGCATAGCGTTGCAAGAAGGGCTCCCAAAGGAAAACCAGCATTTTTTTATGAGGAACTAAAATATTTGCTGTTATGCCAACTAGCCTGTTATCAAAGAATTCAACAAGGAAACAAGAGGCGACGAAATCGTCTTAGGGTTGCGAAGCAACATGTTGTAACATGTTTTTAATTCTTGATGGATTACACTGTTATTTAAAGAGACACTTGATGTACCGTATGGCCCCGGATATAAGCGCCACCCGATTAAAGGCGCCGGCGCTTCTATCTGGAGCATGGCGCTTATGGCTGATTCTCGATTAGAAGCGCACCCCCCTATAGGTGGTAACTTATTATAAGCGCATATGCGTTATATATTCAGATTTTATAGAATTTAACATTTTTTAACTACTCCTAACAGGAGATGTTCTACACTAACAATTTCAACATTATTCATATTTTCCAACAGCTACTCATGTCAAACTACAGCCTAGTACAATCTACCTAGAAGCTACTCCTCGTCGTCAAACTCGGGCTCCAGGCAGTTGTTGCCAAAAAAGCCATCAGCGATGATGTCATCATCGACGTCAACTTCACGAGTCAACTGGTTCCGCCTGTGCGCCATGGCAAGCGAGTCCTCGCTGCCGTCAAGAGCGTTGCTGATGCCACAGGTGAGGAAGGTGCGTTTGATGAGGTCGGCGGGCACTGCCTTCCATGCCCGCGAGATCCATTTTACGACCACCGCAGGTGGCGGCTTCTTGAGGTTCCCTGCACGAACAGAACGAGACACGGGGTTGTAGTTCGTTAAAACAAGGGGGGGGGGGGGTAAAAATTTGCAAAGCACACACGTTTATACATTAAACTTACCTGCTGCTGTCAGTCGCTCTTGGCCTTCGTCTTCAAACCACTTCTGGTACTGCTGGCGGACGGAGGCCTTGAACGACTTGATGAGACGTCGAGGGGTTGAATCTCCGCCGTACAGCCTGCCGGGATCACCGCCGGCACGATGTTGAGCTCGGCGAACTTCGCCTTCACCCCCTCAGTGAGGTGACCGCGGTAGGAGTCGAGGACCACCATCTCGCCTGCCTGCCGAACCGAGGCCTTAGAAGGAGCTTGATGCACTCCTCCAGCCATCGAATGACGCCCTCGGCGTCCATCCACCCGTTCTCGTGGCAAGCCACCACGACATCTGCACAATAAAAAACAAGAATGTTATTCGAGGGTGGTATAAAACAACGAATCAACACTTGACAACAACATGTCTTACCGGGGGGGAAATCTCCCTTCGGCACGGTCTTCCGCTTGAAAAACACCCACGGCTTGAGCTTTTCCCCATCTGCTGTGCACGCCAGCATCACGGTCACACGCTCCTTCTGGTACCCCGCACTCCGGATGGGCACCGACCGAACACCTGTCTGTTCCACGGTGGTGGTGGCGGGCATCTCCAGCCACAGCAGCGCCTAGTCGGCGTTGATGATCTATGTGGTCTCGATGCCACGCTCACGCCGCTTGTCGCGGACGAACTGCCAAAACCTTCGGCACATCTCCGCGACATCTGTGAAACACAGAGACATAGGGGGAAACCGATGGGTTAGTACACACGAAGCAATAAATCACACAGGCGGATTTTAATGCTTACGGGCAGCAGTTTTCTGGGCAACTCTCGTCTTCATCCGAACGCTCAGATTCCACCGCTTCCGAAACCGTTCCGACCATCGTTGGCTGCCCTTCCACTTCGCGAGAGGGTAGAGCAGTTTCATGAACTCGTGCGACCACTCCTGCAGACGGCCGACAGAGGCGGCAGTTCCCTTGCGGAGCCACTCCAGTAGCTTCTCGTACACCTTCAGTTCCATCTGGCGGTACCGAGAAGACCTTCCGCGACCGTGCATGCGCTTCCGAGCGGAGAGAACTTCCTTGAGGAAGTTCGCGGCTCGCTTCCACTCCGTGAGACACTTTCGGTGGATGCCGCTTTCGCGAGACAACGAGCGCACAGACACTCCCACATCCAGCCGCGCGACCCACTGCAGTTTTTCTTGCGCAGTATAAGCTTGACGCTTATGCTGGTTGACTTTGTTCCTGGGAGAGGGGGGGCGGGCATCACGGTTCTCAGCAGAAGGGTGAGGTTGTTTGCGGTTAACTGGAGGATAAGTTGGAATTGGGAGTTTCTCGGGGAGCCCATCGCGAGACCAGTATTCGACGCCGTCGTCGTCGGCACCAAGTACGCCCTCGGGAAACACGTCGGCCGCTGTGCTAGGCTCGGTTCCAGTCTCCGTGGCAGCCTCGGCGTCGTTGTCGCCCTCGGCACGACCTTCCTCCTCGTTGTCAGCCACATCGTTGTCAGAGCCGACTGCAGATTCATCCTACGTGCAATCTTCGGGCTGGCCCCATCGTGGTGCTGGAGCCGGAGCCGGTACGTACACATCTGGCGGCTTGTTGTTGTCCGGTTTCGACAGGTACTCGTCGAAAGCCGATGGGAGCAGGAGCGTGAGCACGGGCTGATTTCCCGTGGGTTGAGGAAATGCTTGATACGGAGGAGCAAGAGGAGCGGGAGGCGCAGGAGGAGCAGGTGGCACAAGAGGCGCAGGAGGCTATGGTGGCTCTGGTGGTGATGGTGGGATACGAGTATACCACCCGTCAGCGTCAACTCTATACGCGGGCCTACTGGTAGGTTTCTTCTTGAAAAGAAAGTGCGTGCCTGTGAATTCCGCCATGGCTTCCGCAGCCAGGTGGGCGAGAATGAAAAACTGAATGGAAAACTGAATGGAAAACTGAAAGAATAACTGGAGAAATGAAAGATTGGAGGGGACCCCTTCGGGGTAGCGGCTCGGGGTCCTCGTCAATGAAGGACGGGAACCCGCCCTGCCTGAACCCGTAGAGGAGGGTTCGAGGCACCAGACGTGCTGTGCTGGCAGGGCATATTCCACACCCTTCGAGAGGGTTCGGGTGAATGGTCCTGCCTGGCAGCGCATGACAACCCTATTGGGCCCCACAACAGGTTTTGCGTCAGCGCTGGCAGGTGCGTTGTTCGGGGACGTAAAGTGTGCGGTGGAAAATCGAATCGCGGCGATTTTCGCCGAGATTCCATGCATGATCCTATGTGAACGGCACATAGTTGTGTTTGCCTTATTGCGGGCTTCATTTTGGTACCCTTACAAACAAATTTCATTTTTGCCATTATAAAGGCGCCGGCGCTTATGGCCGTTACTCGATACGGAGGGGGACGTGGAGCAAGGAAGAGCAGCGGGGGGGGGGGGGGAGAGGGGTAGTGCGGTAGGGGAAGAGACGGTAGAAGGGAACCGACTCGTCAAACGTGACGTCCTGAGACGCGAAGACACGGCGCGAGGTGGGGTGGTAAAACTGCCAGCCAGGCGCGTCAGTGGGAAAGCCAAGGAAGACGCAGGGAATGGCGCAAGAGGAGAGCTTGCCCGCGGTGGAATCGCGGACAAAGGCACAGGAACCCCAGACCCGGAACCGAGACGCATCGCTAACCTCCCCCATCCAACGAAGTATAGGCGAGGTCTCTGGCAAAGAGACACAGGGCCAGAGGTTGAGCTGATGCGCCGCGTACCGGACTGCAAACGGCCACAGAAAATGGGGAGCAGCCACATGGATCATGGAGGTACGAGCGACCTCTATGACTAAGCCAATGCGGCGCTCAGCAATCCCATTTTGCTGTGGGGAGGCCGGAAGCGTGAACGACTGGTGAATGCCCTCCTCCTCACAAAAGGACCTCAAGAGGTCAGAGGAGAACTCACCACCTTTGTCAGAGTGCAGACGCAGGACAGGAAGGTCCGTGCGGAACCGCTCGCGGAGCTGGAGACGGACAGCTCGGATCCAAGGGATCAAAACAGCAGGGACCTCACCCTTGCTGTGCAAGGGGAAGACCGTGATGTAACGCGAGTAGTCGTCGACAACCAGCAGAAAGTATCGCTCGCGGCCCTGTCCCTGGACGCGGGCTGGGCCCCACACGTCCATGTGGAGAGTCTGCAGAGGGGCTGTCGTTGGGGGAAACGAGGAGGAGTGAGGAGCGGCGCGCTGCCGCCCCTCGACGCAAGGAATGCAGAGGGTGGGAGGGAAGGCAGAGACCTGGGAAGACCAGAGACCAGAAGGCGAGAGTGCATGCCACGAAGGCGTGGCAGGGAGGGGTGACCAAGGCGGTGGTGCCAAAAGAGAGTCTGGTGTGACAGGCAGCGACACTCACAGGGGGCTGCTACCGGACCTGACGGGGACACCTGAGCAGACGCAGCGACCTGAGGCGGCGCAGTAGTCAGTGTGTACAGACTCGACCCCGGCCGACGAGTGAACGTGGCCAGGTGACGGCCAGTCCGAGAGCACGTACAGATCGCCACACGCTGCCATCCAGGTGTAAAGGTATCAACCCTTTCATCCTGGAGGACTGCGTTGTTCACCAAGTTCGTCGAGAACGAGGGGAGGTGGAGACCGTACAAGGAACCGGACGGAACGGCCGGGCACGGGAGCACAGTAGAGGAGCGTGCAAGAACCGGGCCCCCAGAGGGGTCAGCCAGGGAAACTGCAACAGGCCTGGTGAGTGGTGTGACTGTGGTACTGTCGCGAAAGAAGCAGCGAGAAGCACCTGAGTCAAGCGTGAAGGTGTGCGAGGCCTCAGCAGGCGCAGTACCAGAGAGAGCAGACTCACTAGCACCTATTGCAGCAGCCTCTATACCAGGGTCGTATGGCGCACACAGGTAACAGTCACCCTCAACACTAGTAGACAGAGCATACATTCCAGCAATGATAGCATCAAAGTCAAGAGCAAAGATATCAACACCAGTCTTAAGCAGATCTGCCCAGAGGGGCAGCTAATACTCGTCGCCCATCTCCTGACGCCAAGCGTCGTCTAGGCGGGAGAAACAGCGGTGCTGGGTGTGACCAGCGCGGGGACCTGTGCGAATAACGTACGAGCAGCGACCACTACCACCACCCCTAGACGCCGCACGCTGAGCAAGCCACTCACAAAGTTGCTGGGGCGAGAGGGTCTCACGCGGACGCTGCTGCTGCTGCCGCTGAACTGCGCCAGAGCGATCACCACCGCCGCCGCTGCCACCACTCTCGCCGCTGTCACTCCCGCCACCACTGCTCCCACTGCCACCACGACCACTGCCACCACCACCCCTGCCGCCGCCGCCACCTCCGCCGCCGACGCCCCCACTCGCTCCACCACTCCCACCGCCACCTCCACCACCTCCGCCACCCCAACCACCTCCACCACCACCACCCCCGCCGCCACTCCCACCACCCTTGCCTCCCTTGCCCTTGCCGCTGCGGCGCTTCCCACTAGGAGCGGAAGCAGCTGCGACCTTCTCAGCACCAAGGAATTCGACAGCAGCGACAGAGGCAACAGAGGGGGAAAGGGGGAGGGGGAGCACCCCTCAAAGAAGGTTGTGCGAGGGGTGCCACGGGTAGCACTTACATCGACTATGTTAGCCTCAGCTGCAAGAAGGTGCTTCCCTAGCAGGTCGATAGTGAGGTCTGTGGGGGGGAGAGCGAGAAGGGTGTCCCGGACTGCACTAAGAGAGTCAGGGAGGCGGGTCACTATAAAGTGGAGAGTGATGTAGATCGGGGGCTCGTTCTTGGGGAGAAACTCGGCAGGGAGGGCAGCACGGTAACGAGCGTCCATAGCGCGAAGGTGGGCGAGGAGGTCGTCTACAGTGGCGAAGGAGGACAGGTCAGGGAAAAGGTAGGGCAGGAAGAGACGACTAAGCGCTGCAGTGGCAGGGGAAGAGTAGCGTGCAACTACAGCGTCGTACAGGGTCTTAGCAGTCTTTGCCTGGTCAAAATGCTCGCATTCAGCTACTGGCAGATGGTTGCAAATGGCTAGGCGAGCAGCAGCATCACGGGTAAGCCACTGTGAGCGAGTCATCGTGTCAGCTGAGGCTGGTGGGGTAGAGGAGGCACCAGTCGCTAATTCATAGAGCGAAACACCATCCCTAGCGTCGCTCAGTAGGTAGAGGTGCAGGTCCTGGAGCCAGGCTTCGAATTTGATTGGGCGGCCGTCAGGATCGAATGCGAGAATACGCAGAGTGGCCATAGTTTAGTAGCTTAGGAGAAGGGCAGGGCAGAGGCAGCGCAAGGGCTGCAGAGGCTGCAAGCAGGCAGCAAGGGCGGCGCACGAGGCTGCAAGGGCAGGGCGCACAGGGCAGAGCAGAGGCAGCGCGAGGGCTGCTGGGTCAGGGCGCGAGCTGCAAGGGTGGCGCGCGGGGCAGGGCAGAGGCAGCGCGACGGCTGCAGGGGCTCGCGCGGGGCTGCAGACGGCAGCGCGCGGGCGGCAGGGGCAGCGCGCGGGGCCGCAAACGGCAGCGCGCGGGCTGCTAGGGCTGCGTGTGGGCGGGGAGGGCGGCACCCAGGCTGCTGGCGCGGTGCGCGGGGCTGCAATGGGCCACGCGCGGGCGGCGAAGGCGGCGCGCGAGCGGGGAAGGCGGCGCGCGGGGCACAGGGGCTGCAAGTAGGCGACGCGCGGGCTGCAGGGGCGGCGCGCGGGACTGCAGGGGCGGTGCGTGGGACTGCAGGGGCGGCGTGTGTGGGCGGTACAGGGCAGGGTAGGGCATGGGGTAGCGTGGTAACCGGTGGGCCCTAAAAAAATCGGTCCTACGGACCTACTGCTCTGATAGCATGTTGAGAAACTTAGGCAAGAATGGATGTAACTAGCAAGACTTGGGATACAAAAAGGAAACCCTAGAATATGTTGTACCCCATGTAAGCTACCCCACTACAGCCTTGAAACAGCAACAGTATTATAGTTTAACACCAGCCGCATTCACCATCCTGTCAGTGAAGAGTGCAGCAGCATTGGCTGTGCCCCCGCACAGCATGCCCTGACCACTCGCAGTGCTGCAAATATCACCCCCGGATGCTCGCTGCACCGTATCGCCCTGCTCGGTAGGAGTGTTGCAGGAGGAGACGCTGGTGAAGCAGTTGGCAGCAGAGACGCAGGAGGTGGCGGAGTTGGCAGGGAAGGTGCCCGAGAGGAAGTTATTGGAGAGGATGATTTCCTTGAGCGATGCTGACACTGGTGGCACGCAGGTTGTCGGGTAGTTGTACGCGATGCTCCTGAATCACATTTTCCAAATTTGGGGGGGTCGGGGGCGAGGAAGAAAGTGTGGGTGATGTGTTTGAGAGATAGTGAGGGTTGTTAGAGAAAGTTTCATTTGTTTTTTGCATGCACTGCTAGCTGGGAGATTATATGGGAACAAGTTAGAGGTAACCAACTAAAAAAAAGATAGGTGAGATGGTTTGGGGCAAGATTTGGCAGCAATGGGATGGTTGGAAGGCACGATTGAACGACATAGTGTAGGGAATCGGGCATGAGCTACGGGGGATGGGGGATAGATTTGGGGCATGGGGCATGGGGCCTGGGGATGGGGCATGGGGCACTGGGGATGGGGCATGGAGCATGTGGTTTGGGGCATGGGGCACGGGGCATGGGCATGGGGTATGGGGCATGGGGCATGGGGCATGGGGCATGGGGCATGGGGCATGGGGCATTGGGCATAGGGGATGGGGCATGGTAGATGGGGCATAGGGCATGAGGCATGTGGGATGGGGCATGGGGCACGGGGAATGGGGTTTGGAGCATGGGGGATGGGGCATGGGGCATGTGGGATGGGGCATGGCCGCATGGGGCATGGGGCATGGGAATGGGGCATGGGGAACGGGGTATCGAGAAAGGGCATGGGGCATGGGGGATGGGGCATGGCATCGAGGATAAGGTATGGAGCATGGGAGATAGGGCGTGGGGCTTGTGGGATGGGGCATGGGCCGTGGGGCATGGGGATGGGACACGGGTGCATGGGCGATGGAGCATGGGGATGGGGCATGGGGCATGGGGTACGGCACTGACAGGCGGGTGAGTTTGGTCATGGCAAGGAGAGGCGGGGGCAGCGAGCCCTTGAACCAGTTGTAGTGGCAGTGGGTGCATGCAGGGGGGCACAAATGAGCACAGGTGAGAGGGCAGTAGGGAAATAAGGACATTCATGCTGAATGGCTGGTCAACCGCAGGAGGGTTAGTGACTGCCAAAAGACTGCGAGGGTGGCAAGATACTCCGTGGTGCAAATGAGCATCCTAGACTTGGCTGAGCAGCACCACTTAGAGCACAAGGGTGGCAACGGAGTTCTCAGCAAGGACTGGTGGGAGGGCAGTGGTACGTGTTAGAATCGCGTGAGTAACAACAACACAATTCTGAGAATTATCCTGAACTAGCAGGTTGGTGAGGGACTCACAGCATTGCCAGGTTGGTGAGGGCGGGAAGCCTCAGTGCAAAATATTCAAGGCATGCCCTGAACAGATTGGACTGCAGGTTGTTGCGACCCTGGTGCGCACAGCGGGGGCAAGAAAACAGAGGGAGGGAGGATGGAATAAAGGGGCAAGATGTTGGGATCTCAGATGAGATGCATTGGTGCGGGCAGTTAAACACAATGCATTTACGTGTATTCATGATCATGGTTGCATGCATAGTTGTGATGCAGGCTACAAGTTCAGACTAGAACAATATTTTGAACGACAACAGTATGCACATAACGTTACATGTGTTTGATGCCGACATGAAATTTAAGTGTGCTTGATGCCAACATGAACGTTACATGCGTTTGATGCCGACATGAACATTACATGCGTTTGATGACGACATGAAAGTTACGTGCATTTGATGCCGACATGAACGTTACATGCGTTTGATGCCGACATGAACGTTATATGCATTTAATTATGTGCTTGCATCAGCTTACACACAATGAATGGTGCTTACAAGCATGTAGTCAGTGTGTGCATGTGTGCACTCACAGGTAAGTAAGCGCTGTGAGTTTGGTGACATCAGCAGTGAGCACTCCGAACAGCTGCTGGCTGTTGAGAGTGCTGGCACAAGTGGGCAGGCAACAAAACAGGAGGTAGGGGAAGGATTAATAGGGAGTAAGTTGGGGATGGAAAGAGCAGGAAATGAATTAGGCAAGGGAGCACTGAAGCACTTGGGGATTCAAGATCAGGAAAAGGTGCAGAAGCAAGGGGAAGCAGGGAAGTAATTGGGTAGGGGAAGGTGGTGATGTGGGACGAAGAGATTGAGGAAGACCCATCGTTTGCTTCATTTTGATGGTTAATGCTACTGAATGTCTTAATTCTTCGCTTCAATATTTACACCAACATTCTTCACAGGGTTGCCACGTTTTCGAGAAATTTGAAAAGCCACACGCAACACAAACCAGGCTTCCAAACGCGATCCCCCATATTGAAACGAGCTTGCCTGCACAATAAAACAAGTTAGGGTTCTACCTCACACGAAAAAAGTTTGGGTTCTATCTAACATTGAATCAATCAATCAATTGCTCACATCTTGACGGGGTTGCCAGCTAAGTCACACTCCACACCCATCAGGCTCCCGCTCACTATGGTGCCACCTGTCCCTGCTAGCGTGCAGATAGCATTTGCCGCCCACCCTGTGTGCGTCACTCCCAAGGCTGTCTTGATGCTCAGCAGCGCTGCCTTTGTGGTAGGGAGAGGGGGATAGTGAAGAGATTGGGGATTGAACAAGGAGTTTGAATGGGAGGGAGAGGGAGGTCAAGGTGGGAGGAACAAGTGAACTAAGCGTGTGTACGGAATAAGAAAGGAAAATGCAGCCAGACAGGTGATTAAGGTGGTAATCCCCACGCTACATATGCCCATGCAGATTGGCAAGTGCAGAATGGGACGTGTCCCCTTGCTACCCATACCCATGCCCCTGCAGAATGGGGCGTGCCTTAGGATGTCTTACTGTAAGCAGAGTTGAAGGGTACAACCAGCAGAAAGGAGCATTCCAGAGTGAGTGGAGGGGCAGATGGGCTGTTGTGGAGAGGGACGCAAGGGAAGCAGCTGTGGGTTGGCAAGTGGACGCACCACTGCCGCCACACAACACCCCCATGCCATCGGCACTGTCGCAGATACTGCACGTGGCTCTCTGAATAGTCCCTTTGCCTCCATCTGCCATGCAAGCAGCAGTTAACACAGCAGACGTACACGGCTAAGACAGAAGGATACACAGAGGCCTATACTTCTTTGTGCAAGGCAGAGGAAGGAGTGCAAAGGAAGTAGCTGAAGTGGAATGTGAACACATAGCATGATGGCCAATGACAGGGTATGACAAGGAATGGGCTGGCATGGCATGGCACACACGGACATAATGGTGGTAAAATTACAGCTTAGAGAGGCCCTTGAGACCGATAAGAGCCGAGGGGATGGGCACAAACAATTAGTTGTAGTGCACTTGGTTGCACAGCACACCGGGAAGAGTGTGGGGTGAAGGGGTGGATGGCGGGGTGGATGGGAAGGAATCGAGGGAAATGGTGAGGAGGATTGACTCAGGTATTGCATTTGTGATTTCTTTAAAGTGTCGTAGGCCCATACAGGAGTCACCTGTGAATGCTGCTGAGGATTGAGGTGCTTCACATACGCACGGAAGAGGAAAGAGGGGCGCATAGGACATATGAACGCAAGAAAGAGGAGAGAGCAGGGGACCAAGACTGCATTCGCTCAACAATGGCATTTACAAACTTGGGGGGACTCATCTGCAAATCTCTCAGACTAGTGGCTCTCTACTTCTTGGCGGAAAGTCACTCTACACCGGGAGCTGGACTACGGGGGAAAGCACGGGTGGTATGAGTGATCGTAGCATTCCTTGCGTTCTCTAGCACTTGTGCGTTCACATAGCAAAACGACAAGAGTTTCACTAGCAAAAGTTGAGAACAATGATGCAAAGATGGTAGACAACAATGGCTATATCAGAAACCGCCAGCAGACAGGCAGGTCAACCGCCAACGCAGCAAGTAGGTAGACCGTCAGTGCAGCAAGTCGGCCGCCTGCCAATGCAGCTCGATGGTGGCTTGCCAGCATTGCATGTTGGCGACCTGCCAACGCTGCACCAGAGCGGCTTGCCAACGTTGCAGCAAGGCGGCTTGCCAGAGATGCAAACGCGGGTGACTACAGTGCACATGCACGCATCCACTTTGTAGGCGCGGCTCGACAGTTGAGCATGCCATGCACCGTCATGCACATTGCGAAGGTGCCAA